CACACTTCCCTCCCCTGCCACCCAGTAAGCTGGGACAAGTGCTTGCCAGCATGCCTAGCTAGTTTTTGAGTTTTAGTAGAGATGAGGTCTTCCTATGTTGCCCAGGTTCTTTTACCTGGGTTTTAATTCGAAAGGATTTCAGAGTTGGTGTCTTTTAAAATTTGGTTGGTATTATGAAAAGTCTGCCTGCCTGGACAGAAAAAGGATGTCCTGTGGGGGAAATAAAAAGTTGAAGTGAAATCCATGACTATTTTATGTGTCATTAAAGCCTGATAATATGGGAGTGGTGTTCTGTGAGAATATTTGAAAAAAAAGTCACTGTATTCTTCTGTTTATGTTAAATAGAATATATTTGATTATTCACAGGAAGAAATTAGAAGAAAATTAATCACATTTTTGGAATGTAAGCCTTCACCATTTATACAGATTTTAATATATTATCTGCATGAATTGATTTGGCTAGCATACGTAGTAATGACTGTTCCTGGAGAGGTTGACAAAAATGGTTACTGAAGAATCTTCAGGCTTGTTTAATCTAAATCATTTCTATTTTCTTTAAAAATATCTGGCATCTAAATAGGAAAGGAAAAATGTTTCATAAGTTTTGGGGAAAGACTAACGTTCAGTGACAGAACTCCTAAACAGCCAATTTTTGATTACATATGGAAAAGGGGTACAAAGTAAGCATACAGATAGATGAATTTCACAGATAATAGCAACACTATATTTTGTTTGCTTGTTTGTTTTGAGATGGGGTCTCACTCTGTTATCCAGACTAGAGTACAGTGGCTCACTGCAACCTCTGCCTCCCAGGTTCAAGTGATTCTCCTGCCTCTGCCTCCCAAGTAGCTGGGATTACAGGTGCTTGCAACCATGCCTGGCTAACTTTTATATTTTTGGTAGAGACAAGGTTTTACCATGATGGCCAGGCTGATCTCCAACTCCTGACCTCAAGTGATCTGCCTGCCTCGGCCTCCCAAAGTGCTGGGATTACAGGCGTGAGCACCATGCCTGGCCTCCAACGCTATATTTTTGTTTGTTTCAACCTTTTCCCCACTAAGGATCACCACAAGGAACAAGGTGGATTGAGTTTCATCTTCCTTAGTTTGGTTGGCAACTGACAGAATGTAGAAAAAGTAATAGGAGCAAGAATCTGAATAATTCAAAAGTGACTTACCAGCATGGCATAGTTAAGAATTGATAGTATTAAGGCACCTTCTTAATTTGACTATGAGAAAAGCTAGGTCTCAATGGCAGCATATGGAGACATGTCCTATTGAGTGTCCCCTCGTCCACAGAGCTATGTTATAAATAGGCCATGGCATTTATGAACATATCCATGGCCTAAAATGGGACAGAGGCAGCAGCAGCTGTGTCTGCTGTTTGGGATCACTCCAGCAAGTGTAGCATTGGTCCTGGTCCCAAGTCTAACATTCATTCTTACTCAGTACCTTTTTTCTTTTTCTTATTATTTATTTTTTTTTAAGACGGGGTTTCACCTTGTTGGTCAGGCTGGTCTTGAACTCCTGACTTCAGGTGATCCACCCGCCTTGGCCTCCAAAGTGCTTGGATTACAGGCGTGAGCCACCACGCCCGGCCACTCAGTACCTTTTATGAGATAGGCACTTGAGGATATCAAATTGAATATGAGACAATTCCTGAACTCAAAGAGTTCTAGTCAAGTGAAAGGACATGTAAACAGAGAACTGTAATGCTGTGTCATAGGTGCTATTATGTCAAAGGGTACAGTGTGGGCACATGGGAGGAAGCAAGTCAGTTCCATCTGGGAGACAGGGCAGGAAAGGCTTCAGAGAGGAGGCAGAGCTTGAGCTAACAGGGGTTTGTGAGGTGGGAACTGAGTAAGTGAGAGAAAAGGAGTTGGGGAAGAACATACCAAGTAGGAGAAGCTGCATGGGCAATAGCAGGAAGGCACAGAAATAACACACCATGCATAGAGAGGTAGGGAGTAGAACAGTGGTTATCACTGGCTGAGAAGGGTAGTGAGGGGAGGACAGGGAGAAGTTGGTGAATGGATACAAAACTACAGCTAGATAGGAGAAGTAAGTCCCAGTGTTCTATAGCACTGCAGGGTGACCATAGTTAACAATAATTTATTGCATATTTTCGAATAGCTAGAGGAGAGGAATTTGAATCCTCCCAACACAACTGATAAACGTCTGAGTGATAGATTGGCTAATCATTCTGATTTGATCATCACATATTGTATACATGCATGGAAATACTACTCGGTATCATATATATGTGTGTGTGTGTGTGTGTGTGTGTGTGTGTGTGTGTGTGTGTGTGTATGTGTGTGCGTGTGTGCTTATTATTATTATTATTTTGAGACAGAGTCTGTCTGTTACCCAGACTGAAGTGTGGTGGTGAGATCTTGACTCAATGCAACTTCCGCCTCCTAGGTTCAAGCTATTCTCCTGCCTCAGCTGCCCAGGTTACTGGGATTACAGACGTACACCATCACACTCCACTAATTTTCTGTATTTTTAATAGAGACAGGGTTTCACCATGATGGCCAGGCTTGTCTTGAACTCCTGAACCCAAGTGATCCACCTGCCTCAGCTCCCAAAGTGCTGGGATTACAGGCATGAGCCACCACGCCCAGCCTATAAATATGTACAATTAATATGCCATCTAAAAATAAAAGAAAAAAAATCATCTGCTTAGAAAGTTGCAATTGGTTAGACATGGCTGATATGCATGATGAGAAGGAGAAAGCAGTGAATGGTAAGATTGGATAGGAGGTCTGGAGCCAGATCAGAGGGGACTTTACATGCCATCCTAAAGAGCTCGGATTTGACACAGAATGTGATTGCGAACCACTGAAGGGCTTTATGCAAGAGAGGGGCATGACAATATTTTGCTTTTGAATGATCACTCTGTCTACTGCCTGGAGGATGGCATGAGAGAGACCAAAACTAGAAGCAGAAACTCCCATTAGGAGGTAAGTGCAAAAGGTCAGACAAGAAATAACAGGGTCTTAAAATGAAGCAGTAGTAGTGGCATGGAGTGACGGGAGCCCTACAAGGTTAGAGGGAGGGGCTTCCAATTACAGCACCAGCCCTCATTTGAGGACGCAGGGAAGGCTAGGTTGCACAGTATGGAAATGTGACTTCAGGAACTCGTATTTAATCTTGTGTTATTGTCAAATTACGTGGAAATGTAAGATTCTTTATCATGATCACCAAGGTGACCTACCATAGTCATGCTGTTTGGATGATTTTCTAGGCTTTTCGATCTGTAAGAAATAGAAAGAAAATAATGTAAAAAGGAGGAATGGGGGACTGAAATAGTGAACATGGTGAGCAAGTATGCCATTATTTAGCACATTTTCCCCTCACTTTCAAGGAGAAATGATCATTTAAGATAGAATTATGAGACCCTCAGAGATTAAGGTCAAGCTTTTCAGTATGTAACATGTGGCTCATTATCACTATATTTAAATAAAAATAATGAGGTGGAGCGCGGTGGCACATACTTACAATCTTAGCACTTTGGGAGGTCAAGATGTGTGGATCACTTGAGGTCAGGAGTTCAAGACCAGCCCTGCCAACATGGTGAAACCCTGTCTCTACCAAAAATACAAAGATTACCCAGGCATGGTGGCAGCCACCTATAATCCCGGCTACTCAGGAGGCTGAGGCAAGAGAATTGCTTGAACCCAGAAGGCAGAGGCTACAGTTAGCTAAGATCGTACCACTACACTGCAGCCTGGGCAATGGAGCAAGACTTCATCTCAAATAAATAAATAAATAAATAAATAAATAAATAAATAAATAAAATTAAATAATGATGAGCCACACTCTCACTACATTTAACATTCTCATAGATTTACTTAGGATACAATTGTATCACTTGAAAACTTAATGAATTTCCTTGAAAGTCATGAAGAACTAGAGGCAAAAATAAGACATCTGAGGCTATGACGTTACTCGCTTTTACATCCCTATTTCCCATTATTTTCACTACTGCAGACAACTGGAAAAGCAATGCCATAATTTTCAGAGCTGCAGAGGTAAGCTGAAGCTTTTTGCATGCCGAATATACTGAGATCAATTGGGCCAATCATCAGAGGCTTCACAGATGGTGATGGCTCAAATCTGATGTAAGTCTGGAGTTTTCTAACAAATGTCCTTCTTGGCTGGAAAGGGCTTTGAGAGCTCTTCTGCCCATCTCATCCTCTGGCTTCTAGGCCAGTCTAAATCTATATAAATGGGCCTAGAATTCATTGTGAAAATAGGCCAAGTAGGCCAGGCGCGGTGGCTCAAGCCTGTAATCCCAGCACTTTGGGAGGCTGAGGTGGGAAGATCACGAGGTAAAGAGATTGAGACCATCCTGGCCAACATGGTGAAACCCCGTCTCTACTAAAAATACAAAAATTAGCTGGGCGTGGTGGCACACGCCTGTAGTCCCAGCTGCTCGGGAGGCTGAGGCAGGAGAATTGCTTGAGCCCAGGAGGCGGAGGTTACAGCGAGCTGAGATTGTGCCACTACACTCCAGCCTGGCGCCTGGCGACAGAGACTCTGTCTCAAAAAAAAAAAGAAAGTAGGCCAAGTATAAGTAAACTGAGGTCTGAACTGGTGAAACACACGTAAGTTCACATTTAAATGTTTTTATTTTAAAATAAGTCTAGGAAAAAAATTCCGTAGTTTCTCTCAACAACTCAGAGAAGATCCATCTTCAGTATAAATTAGCATTTACTGAGCACCTGTGGTATGCCAAGGATCAGATCACATTCTTCATTTTGGAGAAAAAGTCATAGCTGACCTGTCACTTGCAAATGCTAGTTTAAATCTACCAAGGTTTTTTTATTTCCTTCTTTCCTTCCTCCCTCCCTCCCTTCTTTCTTTTTTCTCTCCTTTCTTTCTTTGTTGTTTTCATCTTTAATGAAATGACTCAGAAATAACGTACATTTCCATGACATCAACACTATAGTTTTTGGGATCACAGTAAGATACACCAAATTACATCCACAATTAATATGGATGCCCACATGTCAAGCAGTAATTTATTACATGGCAAAGAAAATCAAGAAAGCAACCATCAACCAAAAGAGACCCATAAGTTCAGACAAGGCAAATCCCAGGATAGCATATGAGAACAGCTGCTACCTCAGTGAAGGGTAGAACCAATGGTAAGGCTGGTTTCTGGCACAACCAATGGTAAGGCTGCCAAAGACTGTTCCAATGCCAGCACCAAAATCAGCCACTCCTACTGTTGCAGCGCCTACACTGATACATTTGGCATCAGTCTCGATGTCTCTGCTGATTGCACTGGTTTGAAACTCCCTTTGGATTAGTTGAGACACACCATTCTGGGCCCCATTAAATACCGCAGGGCCCTCTCCAGTCCTTGCCTCTGGTGGAGATAACACTGATGCAAAAATTGGTCTGTATGCAACTCTATGGAGTTTAAGATAGAACTTCAGAGCAGGGGTGCAGGTGAGCTTGGTGCGGGCAAACATCTTAAACTCTTTGGGGTGCTGCAGCTGGAGGGCTTGGGTGACAGACGACTTGGGCTCCTCTCCCGCTTCCTTTCTTCCCGGGAGGTGGCAGTGGCAGCAGTGGTGGTGACAGTGGCAGCAGAGGTGGAAGGAATGGGCCTCCGATTTTCAAAACATAGTTGTATTTGCAAATGGTAGGTTGAACAAACATGACTCATGACAATAAAATGCAACTTTAATTTTGGTCTTCCATTTCTACTTTAAGCTTTTTGCACTCAAAGAAGCTTTTCCTTTGCCCTTCCTTGGATGAATACACAGCAGGCTCAATGCTGTTTTTGCTCACTCTAAGGTGATAGTCAGTCTTCACTGTGGGGCATAAACAGTCTCAATTTAGTAGGTATACTGTCCTGTCTTAATGTTAATCAGTCCTTTAATCTTCATTCAAAAGCAGGGCTTCTCCTCCCCCTCTATGGGTGAGGTCTGTAGCTAATGGATACCACTGTCTTTGGAGGCCAGTTTCCTCTTTTTGCTCATTTCCCTCTCCATTTGTAGGAGAAAGGTGAAGGGCCACAGGACAGCTCATACTTGGCTGGGTGGCTTCAGAGTCCTGGCTTGGCAAATGTCTAATGCTGATTCTTTCTCTTTGGAGCTTGCCATTGCTAGGGACCTCTGTTCTGCAGTTCCCTGGACCTAGGCTGATGCCTTTCTTTTCTAGGGGATCACTTGATACTCCTTCATCAGCCCTGAAGAATCTGGCATTCTCTTCTAGTTTCTTGCTGCTTCTAGGCCTCCTTGAGCAGAGCCCAAGATAACTCATCTCTCAACTACATGGTTCTTAAGAGATTATCATACCCATCCTTTGTCTCCACAAGCTCAAAGAGAAAAGCTACCCAACACCAGTCCTCTGTGTTTCCCAACTTTTAGGGAACAAACTTCAAAGCTCTCTAGGTGATTCCCTGGAAACCCCTCATAAGGCTTTAGGTAAGAGAGGTAGAATTACTTGGGAAACAGGAACTCATGACATGATAGATTCGGAAAAATCCTTCTCCAATCTTCCCTACTCTCCATACTTTAATATCTTGGATCTGGCCAAGAGATAGGAGTCATGGAATGGGTTCTCTGAAATAATTTAGCTCAGAAACTCTGCACATGGGACAAACTCACTCTCACTTTGGGAACTGATAACAGTTTTATCAGCACCTAAGGAACTGGGCTAGAAAGAATACGATTTTAACATACTGCTAATGTTCTTTTTTTTTTTTTTTTTCCTTTTTTTGAGATGGAGTTTTTGCTCTGTTCCCCAAGCTGGCGTGCAGTGGCACAAACTCAGCTCACTGCAACCTCTGTCTCCTGGGATCAAGCAATTCTCCTGCCTCAGCCTCCCAAGTAGATGGGATTACAGGTGCCCACCACTACGTCCAGCTAATTTTTGTTTTTTTAGTAGAGATGGGGTTTCACCATGTTGGTCAGGCTGGTCTTGAACTCTTTACCTCAAGTGATCTACCTGCCTCAGCCTCCCAAAGTGCTAGAATTACAGGCATGAGCCACTGCACCCTGCCCATATTGCTATGTTCATAATCACCCCCACAGGGTTTGTGCATACACCTTGTAGTGTCAGATATCGACCCTCTTCTAAACTACCAGACTGCAAGTCTTAATGCTAGTGTGTGAGAAAATCTGGTCATAAAATACAGAGCAGAGCAAGTAGTTTTGTTGTAGACAAAAATCTTAGCTCATAATCTTTATAGTTTCTTCCTTAGAGTGACTGTATATTTCATGAGAGCAGGGAATCAGGTTTTCCATTTCAGATTCTACAATAATCAAGCAACTACTTTATGATAGGCAAAACACGAAGCACTTTCATATAATTTATCTTGTTTACCTTAAATTGAGATAAAAGGGTTTTTTTTTTTTTAAAGTATCTCTCTCTCTCTCTCT